GTGAGATCTGACTATACTTGTATTAATAATTAAGATATTCAATGTCAATTAAAATGGATAGAATAGTAAAATGTAACCACCAAACACCAAGTTCCAAAAACATAAAACTATTCCCAAAATGATTTAGACCTCATAAATAAAAGTCTTGTTGTCTGTTTTCAATGTAATACAACTTTCTAAATTAAAAAGTCTTGACATTTTTTGTTTAACTTTTACATGTCAAACACTTTTTGCATCATGTGAGAAGAAGTACAGATGAGGGAGTAGTTCAAATGCTTCTGTGTTTACTGGACAATAAATTTGACTGAAGCCAAAATAGGTATATAGTTATAAATTGTTGATCTGTCATAGGAACTCCTTTAAAAGCTTAAAAAAGCATACTCTTTACCCGACTGTGGAACAAAAACAATGTGCCTTAGCTTTAATATACGGTAAGTTACAAGTACATTTAATATCCCTTTGGGGTCGATTACATGTTTCTAAATCTAACATATTGGATTTGAATCTAATACACACACGCTCTTGGTCATTTGAAGTGGAAATTAAAAATTCAAGCAAACTAACTTAATTCACAGGGATTGCATCTTACTATTATGAATAATTATATTGCAAAAAATATTATGTAAAAGAAAATTCTATTTTGGTAAGGTACTGCTATGTTGCACTACCTCAAACGGTGACGTCACAGGGTTGGTCAATGATTCAGTTAGTATTTGAATACACTGGATATACCAGTCATCACAACCTTAAAACATTTGGTATTATGGACGACTGGACATTTCACGAAAAAAGCCTGCAGGATGGTGGGGGAGAGCTGTGACCTTTGGATAACCCAACTGCCTGTCATGGAAACAGGGAATCACAGGAAGAATTAGACCATTTCTCTGGAGGTTTGAACCTGCTGTGGTAGCCAATGGCTAAGTGACCCTGTGCTGCATGCCCATCTTAAAGGCTGCTCCTTGAATTATAAAAATGTGCATTGTTAAGAGGATTGAATAGACAAAGTGGGAGAACTAAGCTCTAGTGATTGAGATTTTTTTTTTGAGATAGGGTCATAGTTCATGATTTAATACCTGCCAATATAACTGTATGTGTTACTACCCTGCCTGCTTAGCGTGTTTTTTCACCCTCTCTTTACGGTTGATTGTTGCCGCTATGTTGGCTGGTCAGTCGAGGCCAGCTTATAGGTGATGAAATTAAAAACACTTGTATCAGCTTCAGGCTGCAGCCAGCTGTCCAATGGACCGCTAGCTTGCCAGACTCAAAAGTCTTTTACTTTACATAATCTCCACAGTGGTGCTTTATGAGGTAGCAGGGATGGTCAAAACCACCTCTTCTCTCCCCATTAGGGCTCAAGTTACATGGCGAATGATCTCAAAGGAATAAGCAATGAGATTTAGATACTGACGTTTCCTTTCAGCTTTGTCTTCCATCATACCAATTGTTTCCAGTGATTTATGGTTGTGATTTATCACCGGTATATCCAATGCTAGCTGAAGCATCAACCAACCCCGTTTGAAGAACTGCAACATGGCGGCTCCCTTACCAAAAAATTATAAAACAAAGATTGTTTTTTCTTTTACATTTATAATTTAATAGTAAGACACAATCTCATGAATTAAGTTAGTTTGGTTGAACATGTCATTTCCACTTTAAGGTTTACACTGAATAACCAAATTTGATTACCCCATATTGCAATAAACTTGTTAAACTAAAATTGAAAAGTAGCAAATTTTTTAATTGATTTATTTGATTTATTGAGTTTAAGACTGTCTGGTGACAAAAAGTTTGTTCTCAATATCATTAAAACAAGTTAAGAGAAAAATTAGGTGACTGGAATACTGTTAAACTGAAACCCTTAAGGGTTCTTTCCATTTTCACATTTATTGATATTTCAATCTGAAAAACTCACACAAAGAGAAAAGACAATTAGGATAAATTTATTGATACAATTACTTTGTCTTTGGTGCTCAGACCTCGGCAGGAAACATAGCACTTAATTTTGATAGATATGCATGAACAGGAGCAAAGAATAGGGCTGTTTCCCCCTCAGGCCTGAAACTGGTGGTGGAGTGGCAATATCTGAAGTCGGTCAGTCTGTAGACTGATGGTTAGCGAGACAGTATGCTGTAGAGAAATCCAGGTTAGTGATCATTAGAATCTGATGGGGCACAATAACAAGCATGTGAATCGCTAACTTGGTTCTAAGTTCAGTCCATATCCAGAGGAAGGAGTGGGTATGAGTTGGATGACAGACAGTTCAAGGAGCAAGGCAGAATAGCCTGTAGAGTGCATGGCAGCAGATGCTGAAGAGCAAAGGAGTCAAGAGGCTGAATCTACAGCAGGTGATGAAGCAGGGGTCCATACCAGAAGATCAGAGAGTCACAGAGGTACCGATGAGATAATCCAGACCAGGTGCAGGGGAAAGAACCAAGGTTGCTAACAGAATAATTTCAATCAGAAGCCCAAACACAGTATGAAGGGAGAAACAGACTGGAACTGGGGCAAGCCAAAACTTAGCCAACCAAAAGCAGAAACAGGTCAGGATTAGGCAGTCAAAAAAAACAACAAGGTACACTTGGGTACTTCTCACACTTGGTTCAAATAATCTGGAACTGAAGGCCAGAAAACAGGCAGCATAAATAGGACATGGAACAGGTGGATCAGATCAGGGCAGATGAAAACTGGGCAAAGCTAAGCAGGTGGAGGGAACAAAACTAATGATTCAGTCATCAATTCTTACATAACTTTCTATCTGATCATATCATTCTTAACATTATATCACATCTACCTAGCTTTATTTGGTACTTGATTAGCTATTTTAACAAATACTTCTTTAACCTTTCTTGAGGAACTTCTTTGATAACTACCTTCTACTTTTCTGACATAAAAAAACAACAATTAAAGGTCCCAAGCTCTCATTTTACCAGTCGGTTTCCATTCTTACACTCATCTGTGGACATGAAATCTGGGTCATAGCTGATATAACCAGATACCTGGGCACTGTTGGGCACTCCATTAGAGATAGGGTGAGAAGCTCGGTCATTCCAGCGATTTTGGGAGTAGAGCCGCTTCTCCTCCACATTGAGAGAAGTCAGCTGAGGTGGCTCGGATATCTTTTTCAGATGCCCCCTTGATGCATTCCTTGGGAGGTGTTCCATGTATGTCCCACCAAGATAAGGCCTAGAGGACAACCCGGGACAGGTCGGAGGGCTTCAGCTTGACCAGAAGGAGGTATCTGGGGAGAGGGATGTCTCTGAGTCTCTGCTGAGACTGATTACTTTGCCACCCAGACCCAGACCCATTTACGCTAGATTTGAAAACGAAAAAATTAACAATTAGGCCCCCATAGCATGTTTTTGCTATTTGTGCAGGAAAATTCTTGTCCTATTAGGCCAACAGGATGTGCTAAAGACCTCCTCATTCAGACCTATTCCGGACATCCCAGCTCTCCTAAAGGCTATGCCCCGACAACCTGCAAACTTGAGTTTGTAAGGATTATGCCTAAGAGTTTAGAATATTGCATTACATTAAAGACCTGACCTAAACCCATGGCTGCTACAGAGTGCTCTCGAAATTGTATAAGTTACAACACACTAACACACAAAAGTAGTAGGTTGACCAGACAAACAGCAAGTACATTGAGAAATTTTGAGCATGCTCAAGATTTGAGCATGCTCAAAATTTCTTGATGTATGCCACCGTTGCTCATATGTGGGCCCTAAGTTGCAGGTAAGTTATTTGATCATTGACATATGTTGAGTGTAAGTTACTCATAAATGGTGGTGTCTAGCTTATCCAAAACCTATGAGTAACATGTGCATAACTTATGTGTAACTTATCAACAACGTATCTCCAACCCATATCAATGTATTTGACGTGTTCCAGATGACCGCTGAACATGTTGCTAACTTACAGGTACTGTATAATGGCATATTGGCAGCATTTTGGTATAAAAGGAGGTTAATAGGAGGAAAGCCCCATCATAGGGTGAGCGAGAAGGTGAGTGTGATGGATCCTGCCTGTGTTCATGGCCATGACCAACAAACTTCCTACTAGACATGACTCTGAATCTGCTGCAACTGCAAACTTTATTTTACTTTTTACTTTTTTTTTTCATTTATTTCTTCTTCTTCTTTTTTTTGGTGGATGGTAGCAGCTAGGTTAATACCGCAATCACAGAAAACATTTTATGCAGGCTGGGTGTCTCTGGGCGCATTGCTGCCACCCTCAGGACACTGCTTGTGACATTACGTGGGCATCACGAAGCGCTGCTGTGCGTTATGCATAAGTGAGGCTGTTGTTGGACATAAGTTCTGGACTCGTTCTGAAATATATAAAATTTAAAAAATACATAGAAAGTTCCTTGTATGCCAGCATTTTAAACCACAAAATTAGTTTAAATCAAGCACACAATCAGAGTTGCAACATATTCTGCCAACAATTGAAACATATATTACATAAACACAAACTTTAGCTGAAGTGCCAACATGCTAAACAGTCACGCTAAGCAGTCTGACAAAGTAAAAAAGCCTGAAGTTCTGCGGGTAGATTTCCATCAGAAGTAATATTTGTCCACTAAGTTTTCAGAGGCTCAGATGCAAGCAGTAAAAAACTTTTGTCTTGATGTAGGTATTAACAGGTAATAACCAGGAGCCGGGACACAATCACGAGACATGAGACAAACACTAAACCCTCTCAACACACAGGGCCCCAAGAGTCAGGACATAATACAGGGACCTAACTAAACTCAAAAGCAAACAAACATGAACAACTAACAAGAGTACATACGAATAACTAATTATCTGGACCTGGGCTGAAAAGTATATAAAGCAGAGTGAACAGGGGGATAAGATGAATGAATATTAGAGCAGCAGGAGGGAATGGCAGGTGAATAAAGTGAGTAATTAAATCATTTGTCTCTAATGCTTTTATTTCCACATATTTGATATCATCAGTCTAAATTCTTAAAGTGTGAAAATTGTTGTACTCTATTTAAAAAAAAAATATGTTATTTTCCTAGGTATTTTTGTGTCACCTGTTAACGGCATAAACTACTTCACATTCTTTTTTCATGTTGGTGGATAACAAATTCTCTGAAAAATGTTGTGCTCTTTTTCATCCTCTGATGTAGGGGCTGGCTCGGAGTTCATCTGCCTGGTTATGTGTTTCCTGGATGGGGAGCTGTGGAGCTGTTTGAAAGTTACCTCTGATAACTCTGCTTCTTTTTCTATGACTGCTTCAGTCTCCTCGAACCACAGTTGGCCTCGGCAGATGGCAGCTCACACTGATTCTGGTTTTGTTGGAGGTTCCTTCTTGTTAAAAGCGAGTTTTCCTCTCCACTGTCACTTAAGTATGCTTGTTGAGAGGGATTGCTTTCAAGTAAATGTGTTCCTTAGATAGAAAACTTTGAACTAATCTGCCTGTATGATCTGGTTCAATTATCTCTCTAGATGTCCTGAGATGACATGTTGTGAATTGGAGCTATATAAATAATTGGAGCTTTATAAACAAACTGAATTGAACTGAATACCGTCCATCACTGTATATATGTATATCATACCCAGCTGCGCAATCTCTATGTGCATAATACTTGCATAATACTTGCATATATCATTCATACAAATGTCAATGACAGTATTACAAAATACATCACATTAATAAAATGCTTTCACAATGAAAACCCTTATTTTTCGATAAATGTAGAAAATGATCTTGAACTTTTCCTCTGTTCTAACAATGATGGGGAGGGTTTTATCAAGCGTGATAGTTTCATTAGATCTGGTTGAGAAAAAAAACAGACCCAGCTGTCCCCATTCTCAAGTACACATTCCTCAGGTTTTTGTCTACTATGTTTCAATTATCAGGAATATGACAAAAAACAATCAAACAGGTGAAACAGATTAAAACATTTTTCTTTCAAAAACTTTTAAAGATCTTTTCTTTATTTGATACATTTTTATCTCGGTTAATTCCAGTGGGTCCACATACAGCATCAAAGGACCAGAAATATTAATGTGATAATTGATAAAAACAAACAAAAAAACTCCTGTATACTTCATTTCAGGGTGAATGCAGAAGAATCCCACTGAATGTAGTGATTTGGCTGTCCCCCCAGACATTAGTATTAGAACCTAACCGCATATAGACATGGTCTCCTTGCTGCAGTTGCAGAAATGCTGCATTTCCTCCATTATCAGCCCCATCATGAGATGTCTTATGGTCGTAGGCAGTCACAATAACCTCATTGTTCTTCATAAGGGCTAGCCTTACAGGTTCCGATGCTCCGGCATGATAAAAGAAGGTGAAGTAATATGTACCTGCAACAGGTGCAGCAAAAATACCTGGAAGAAAAGCAAACAAGTTTAGTAGATATTGGTTCAACCTTCTAGATGCCAGTCTGCAAAACTTTTACATTGCTATCACTATAATTATGTGATGTGGAAAGCAACATGTAAATAACATGTATAATTACATATCATTGTTATTTAAACATTTATTTTCAACTATGATATACATATTATAGTTATAGCTTTATTTAAATTTTAGTCTTTATCAAAAACATTTGATATTAAAATAATTGTGTTTTCTTTTAACTTAACCAATCACTTAGCCACCTCAGCATTCATCTGCTAAGGCTGTTACTCAACAGGGCAGTGGGTGGGTTTGACCAGGGCCCTGAATGTTTCTCTGAATATAGGGTCACTGCACTTTAACCACTAGGCCATCGCTCTCTAGTGGTTGGTGAGACCACTGATATGATCACAAGGCAAGACCTGATTGTGAACAGCGCTTAACAAATAGAGACAATATTTCCAAAACAGATAATGAATATTGAATTGCCTTTAATACATTTGCAATGATTAACCTGTGTATGCTTCTGGCCCTCTCAGCCTCCCCCCTAGATTTGCCCATGGACTCTGCCCCATCCTCTATCGTCTCAATCTGTGCTCAACACGTTGGCCCAATCCCAAACCATCCCCTAAGCACTACCCCTTAAGTATCCAGAGTCATTCCAAATTTAGTCACACTGGCAGCTGTGAAGTCTGCCCTTACACCCACTGGAAATAGCAGCGAATCTACACTGATAATGCTATTTAAGGCTGAACGGTAACTATGTGGTGTGGACGACTCCTAATGTGGCGAACACTCCGCGGAAATGCGCAAACAGATGTTTAGTGCTTAGGGTTGGCGTTTAGGGACAGGTTTGGGATTGGGCCATGTTGAACACTCGTCCACATTGTTGCTTCTTTCAGCCAAGCAGTGCCACATATGTGTATCTCAGCTCCCTGCTGGTAGTTTTGCAGTAAAAGGCTCTCCCCGTTGCAGAGAGAGTGCACTTAGTTGCTTTGATGAATGTAGCTAAAATAATGCACTGCATTAAATTGCAAGTAGCTTGACAGCCTTACCGATACATCCTTACAAATATAAAATTACTCACCTGTGTGTTGATTGTAAGCATTGCCCACATTTGTTATCACTGTTCTGTAGATTATGGTTGTATCTGTGGTAAAAGGCCCAATAGCCCCACTTCCCCCTGCTGCGGCACTGAATACGACCTTTTGTGCTTCTAAATAGATATGAAAAAAAAAAAAACTGAACTGCATCTGTTCAAAAATACATTGCCAATAAATTTAGAAAGAGCTTTACCTTTCTCCTTTAGCTCCAGAACCAGTTTTTCGGTCTCCTTCAGCTTTGTTTCAAGAGCCTCCTGCTTCTCGTTCATGCTTGTTTCCATAGTTTTTTGTTTCTCTTTTATGGCCCAAAACTCTTTGAGGAACTTGCACATATTAGGAGAGCATGACTCTGTTTCAGCGGTCACTTCTGTTTCAGGAACCCCATCCTGAGCCAGAGTTAAACCACAGAACCACAATAACAACCACACTCTGGAAATCATCCTGCTTGCCTTAAGGTGTCTTCAGAACTCTAACTGACCGAATGTGCTGTTTGCTCTTTTTGTGAAATTCTGTACCTTGGTTAATATTCAACTACAGATAAAATAAAGTCAAAATGGTCTGTTTACTTTTTCAGCGCTTTTGCAGTGAAAAAGAACTAAAGAGAACTAAAAACTGACAGAAAGAAAGATCAATCTTGCCTTTCTTTTAATTAAATTAGGTGAGATCTGACTATACTTGTATTAATTATTAGATAGATATTCAATGTAAATTAAAATGGATAGAATAGTAAAATGTGATCACCAAACACCAAGTTCCAAAAACATAAAACTATTCCCGAACTGATATAAACCTCATAAATAAAAGTCTTTTTGTCTGTTTTCAATGTAATACAACTTTCTAAATTAAAAAGGCTTGGCATTTTTTGTTTAACTTTTACATGTCAAACACTTTTTGCATCATGTGAGAAGAAGTACAGATGGGGGAGTAGTTCAAATGCTTCTGTGTTTACTGGACAATAAATTTGACTGAAGACGCAGCAATCTTCAGGCTGCAGCCAGCTGTCCAATGGACCGCTAGCTTGCCAGACTCAAAAGTCTTTTACTTTACATAATCTCCACAGTGGTGCTTTGTGAGGTAGCAGGGATGGTCAAAACCACCTCTTCTCTCCCCATTAGGGCTCAAGTTACATGGCGAATGATCTCAAAGGGAAAAGCAATGAGATTTAGATGCTCCAGTTTCCTTTCAGCTTTGTCTTCCATCATACCAATTGTTTCCAGTGCTTTATGATTGTGATTTATCACCGGTATATCCAATGCTAGCTGAAGCATCAACCAACCCCGTTTGAGGAACTGCAACATGGCGGCACCCTTACTAAAAAATTATAACAAAGATTGTTTTTTCTTTTATATTAATAATAGTAAGACACAATCTCATGAATTAGGTTAGTTTGGTTGAACATTTCATTTCCACTTTAAGGTTTCCACTGAATAACATAATTTGATTACTCCATATTGCAATAACATAAACTTTTTAAACAAAAATTGAAAAGTAGCAAATGTTTTAATTGATTTATTTGATTTATTGAGTTTAAGACTGTCTGGTGACAAAAAGTTTGTTCTCAATATCATTAAAACAAGTTAAGAGAAAAATTAGGTGACTGGAATACTGTTAAACTGAAACCCTTAAGGGTTCTTTCTGTTGTGTATGATACACCAGGTCAAAATAAAAACACTATTCAAGTAGATAACTGGAAGGTAGCACATAGCAACATTTATTCTACACAGGGAACTTTCTTCTTCTCTTTTAGGCACAGCTCACCTCTCTAGTGCACCGCCAGAGCGCCACCACTGGCGAACTGTTATATTTACCTTATCTTCAGATTCACAATTAAACAGCTTTCAACACACACAGGAGCATACTTAAACCAAAAGTGTCTTAACAAATCAAACTCGGCAGTTAATTAATTTCGGTGTCTGGAACACCACTGTAAAATCAATACCTCTCAAACAATAAAAATTTTTTTTCTTCTATCAATATAACTGAAAATCAAGAAACACTTTTCTGTTTTTAAACACTCATTTAAAGTTGTAGTTTCAATTTCAGTCTATCAGGAGGAAGCCGGTTTCTCACTGGGTGTGTGTTCCTTTCACAACTGTAGATAATTGCAAGTCCATTGGTTGATTTCCAACAGTTTCTTCTTCCATGGGTTGATCCACACCTTTGGTTGTATCGATAATCATCATCATTCCAAAAATTTCCAGTACAAGAGTCTGTTTGTGTCCACTGAGCTGGATTTCCATTTACACCTAGCATCTGATTTACATGTTTTTTAACACACTTCCCATTCACTTCCACACTGTAAGTTACAGTGGAAATGGAGCCTTCTGAATGGCAGTTGTCTTTTCTTTCATAGGAGGAATGCCGGTGGCATCAATGACATGTCCTAAATATGAAACACTGTCTTGCAGGAACTCACGTTTTTCTCGCTTTAACCTGAGGTTGTAGCCTTTAAACTTCTTAATGACTTCTTTTAGGTTAGTCAGGTGGGTTTCTGCATCTTTACCAGTTATCAAAATACCATCAAGATAGCAGATTACTCCATCCATACCATGAAGTACTTGATACATTATTTTCTTGAAAATTGGAGGAGCACTTGCAACACAAAGTTCAATGCAGCTTCCATCTCCCACTGAACCACCACCTCACTGGCTGCTCCATCTTCTCTGACTTGATGTGACAGAAATTGGGTGTTGCCTGGATCCCCTTTAAACTCGTGCCTATTGCCTGGCTCTGCATGCTGGGGCGCACCATACTGTGGACCGGGCCAGCTGCCGACATCCTGCTGCTGGAGTGAGCTGACATCATGACAGGGTTGCCGCATGAGAGCGCCGGGTCGCCTCTTCTCAATATCAAGATGCATGGTTCCCTTGGTCGTGCTTGAACAGCCTCCTTCTTTGCATGTGCGACAGGCTCTGGCTATGTGTCCCTTTTTTTTTTTACACTCATGGCACTCGCTGTCTTTAACACTAAAAGTCCCAGAAATACGAGAATTTTCGTCAGTCTCCGACCCCGCGCTGTACTTATCAACTCATGAGTGGCTGGAGAATAAATCCACCCCCTTCAGTTGTGGTTTCAGCTAAAGTATCTCTCTTTGAGTGTTTTACCTGAGAGCAGGGGGGAAAAATCATATTTGTAATTAAATATAACTAGGTCTATGTCATCAGTGTCGCCAACACCACAATGATTTCAGCGCAGCCGGCTGCGCAGCGATCAGACAATAACTGATCTGTACAATGAAAATAGCTGCATGAGCTGGAAAGCTGTAGAAAGCAGCAATATTTATACAATAATGACCATTTATACGATAATGACCGTTATTAATTTGGGGGGAATATAATATTCACAGATTCGGCTTTTCCGGATTAATAACTCGGCGGATGATTTATTCTACAAAACAGACACCAGAGCAAGGCAGACAGTGAGCTACAACCATAGTTTTCCTAAAAACCCTATGGAGAGCACACTGCTCCAAAAATGCTCCGTCTGCAAGTCGCAAAATAATCAGAGAGAAATATTCAAAAGTGTTACCAAGGAGAGGTGGATTATTATCACACTCATTGGATTCGAAAATAATACTTTTCGGAGGAACTTCCAAAAGCCTAAATGACAAATGGCACCTCTATTCTATTATTAGAATAAGTATAAAATGAGCAATGACTACACTATAGATCATTGTACTGCCTTCAAACTTGTAGGATAAAAAGATAAATTCATCTGGATCATACTACAACTCTTTCTTTGGGAGGATAGGCCAAACAGATTTTTGGAGATTTTGTCTTTTTTATTATAAGCATAAATAGCCAATAATTACACTATAGATCATTGTAGTGCCTCCAAACATAGATAACTACATCTAGTTCACATTACTTTGGGAAAATATGCTAAACTCAAAATTTTTTTTCATTGTTATAAGCATATAAAAAGCCAAGAATTACTTATGACTTAGAGACTTAGACAGATTTATTTTGTCATTTTGTATACACAAGTGTAAACAAAAAGAAATTTTGTTTACACTTGTGTATACAAAATGACTTATAAAATGGTTATATAAACATATGACTGTATATTTACAGTTCTAACATTCTTTTTTTTTTCTTACTTTGGGAAGATAGGCCAAACTGTATTTTTGGAGATTTATTCATTGTTATCATAAGCATATAATAGCCAATAATTACACTGTAGATCATTGTAGTGCCACAAAACTTGTAGCACACATAGATAACCTCATGTAGTTCATCCTACAACTCTTACTTTGGGAATATGTGCTAAACTATTTTTGTTTTAGATTTTTGGCATTGTTATTTCAAGCAGACATGGTGTGCAATCTCCGCAACAGGAACCACAGCACTGAGCGTTGTGTGCACTGCACAAAGTTTACCTGTCGCAAATGCAGGAAGAACTCACCTTGGGTTTGTAAAAACTGCTAAATGGGAAAATTGTAGCTTCATATGTAGTGCTTTTCCTTGGGTGAAATAAATGTTACTCCAATACTGAAATCATACTGTTTGTCATTTTCTAAGACAAGATGCAATTATTCTCTAAGTTGTTCTTTCTTTCACATAATGAGCTTTGCAACAATACAAATGAGTCTGTTGGTGAATGGACAACATAAAAAGGCTCTGCCTTGCCTTGTTGGAAAAGTATGGTTATGAACTGTTATCACGTCAGTTGTTCAATAGGTTTGCCTAAATAAAAGATTTAGATATGACTTATCAAGATATTCCTGCAAAAAGGTCTGATGTTGCAGTGGCAGGTAATGAAAAGTGTTTGGAACATGCTGTTGTTCTGATGCCAGTTTGTTTCAGCCTTATCCAGTCTCCTGTAGAAGGGCTGGTCACATCACAGGTTATTTGCATTACAACAAGGACACTTAGCAAGGTAGAGTGAATACACAAACTTGAAGAGGGGAGGGGGGCTTGCAGGAAAACTGAAATTCTCCGGGACATCTAGTGTTAACAGGAATGACTGACTCACCACGGAGCATGGACAGGTCTATACCTTGAGCAGATGGGGCCTGCCCAGCTTCAGTTAAATGGGTTTCAACTGTTCCTGTGATTGAAGGTATGTCAGCCTGTGGAAAGGGCTGGTCAAAGTCAGTTATAGCGGATCAGTTGAAATGGTGGTTTCACAGATTTTTAATGCTGATTCCTGATCCGTGAGTTTTTCCACATTAAACTTGATCGGGGTTGAGAAGTACTTCTAAAGGTCACAAGTTCAAAAACCTCTTCTTCATCTTCCTCCAACATATCAGCAGTATCAGAAGGGTTTCGACTCTGGCTTCGAGCATGTGGTTATGAAATAGGAGAGGTCCCTAGAGTATCATGAAATGTACTCACTGACAAGAACTAACGTGGGAGAAGAATGTCCCAATGGAGTGTGCAGGAAGGTCCATCATAGCTATAATGTCTAACTGTACAACAGAAGTTCCCCTGACATTTTAACAACAAAATACACTTTCTGCTCCCAGTTATCTTCAAGGTTTTGTTTTCCTCA